CCCCCCCCACCAGGGCGGCTTGGATGGGGTCGCGGAATCCGGGGTTGGCGTTGTCTTGCTGTGTGAGGTGGTGGCCCCTTTCCCAACCTCGACGTCTTTTCCCCCCACTATAGTTCTCTTAAACCGAGTTGGGGTCGGGATCCAAAAGGGCGCGCTTTTCTTCCCCTTGGATCGCTGTAAGGCGGTCCACTTCGCTTCTCCCTCTTGCAACGAAATTAGATTTGGCTAACTGACCCTACCCCCCTTCCCCAAAAAACGTTGTCTTCTCCAAAAGTCCACATAGTCTCTCCCCCGCCCCCCCCTTTTCAAGCCTTTTCCTGCAAAGAAACCCGTTTGGATGACCAAGCCGACCTTTTTTTTTTTTTTTAAAAAGGAAAATGTGCAAAATTTAAAGTAGTCCCATCCTAAAGAACCACAGCAGGCCCACGGATAGGGTGGGCAGACATGTTTGTGCAAGAAGTGCCTGTATGTGGATGATCCAGCTCTCCCAGTGAGGGGAATAGTTGTGCTTTTGGTTGCAAAGAGTAGTAAATGCACATAAAGAGTAGTAAATGCGTGGAAAGAGAATGGGTATCCTTCAAATCAAAATCAAATTGCCTCCTGAATATTATGACACCAGGCTCAAATTGACAAGTTGAGACATGTTTGTGTTTGGCCCTTATTTCTAAACTTGCACTGTGTCATTCTGAAACTTGTGGCACAGTCACAACATTTCCTATTATTCTGTTTCAGAACACCTTCTGTCTTTAAATGTGCATCTTAATGGGGAAGATGATTTGGTGGAAAACAGTTTATTTTATGGTGCAGTTGATAAACTGTACCATTTACTTTGGAGCAGTTTCCCCCCATAAAATATGAAATAAATATGATATGGTTTTTAACTGGATATTGTTCAGAAGGCATATAAATATTATACTTAATTCCCATATAAGTGTATAAAACCAGTTGCATTACCAAGGGTTATTACGATGCAGTGGTATTTTTTTTGTTATAAGTCGTTAATGTTAATTGTCCAGAATTTTTGGTCCTCGTTTTTAACAGGTCTGCAGAAGGTTTAAATAAATTTTCCAAATGGAAGTTAAAATTTTCCATGGTCTTATTTGTAGAGTTCTTCAAATCACTTATTTCATGCAGAGTTGCAGGATTTGTATTTTTATAGGAGAGTTGCTTATACATTCATAATCTGTAATATTACCCTGTGGGGATATATGTGATTTAAAAGTACTCAAAGCTTGCACTAAAATAAATGATTATATGCCAGGAGATGCCTATTCCTTGATAGTCCTAATATAAAATGGAAGATTATTTCTTTTTTTAAACTGTAGCCTGTAACCAAAGTGGCAAGGGATATGATGGCTATTTTGGCCTGCAATATTTCACAAAATGTAGTCTTCCTGTTCTGTTTGTTATTTTATTTAATTGTCTAACTAGGACTTCTTTTCCTGGAGCTCAGAATACTGCACTGCTTTCATTTACAGCCGCCTTTTAAATTATAAATATATATTTTTTAAAGCTGGCTTCTTCAAGGAGATGCCTTTAGAAGAGTTAAGAGATTTGGAGTTCCAAAATTCCTAGGTAGATCGGTTGAGGGGGATTCTGGGAGTCGTAGTCCCAATTTACCTGTATCGGATCAGATTGGAGAAACTGACTCAAAATCTCGCAGTAAACTAGGAATTTGAAGTTAGGCCTGTTTGCATCTTTCTGGGTGGAGGCTGATTTGTGGGAGAGGTCCTTTCTTAACCAACTTTCTTTTTATTGGAAAAAGCAGTTTCCCCATTATTGTGCCTACGTGCCCTTTTTGTCCTAGAGTTCTTTTAATGCACAAAGATGCAAGTTATTTGTGTAGAAAAAAAAAGGACTCATTTGAAGAGGGTTTCCTCCTCCTTTTCACATCCTCACTTAAAAAGAAATGGTATCCTTTTAATGCAAAGCAGGTTGCTCATATGTCAGAAAGATTTTCATGCTTGTGTAAATAGAGAAAAGGTTCCGGCTTGCTTTTTTGAGATTTCACCTACCACCCCTGTGTTGCTAGTTTGCATTTGCTAAAGCTTTTCTCTGTACTGTTGTTAAGATTTGAAAGACAGATCTCCCTTTGACCTCCCTTCCTCTTCCAGCAGTTGAGAAGCTCAGAAATGGATTATATATTTATTTAACACGTGAGTAATATTTATAGACCACTCCAAACTGCAAGATCCTGCATGGTGTACCTCACAAAATCTATATATATGGGGATATTTGCATGCCTGTAGGAATAATTCCGATTATTTTAATGAGCAGGAACAATCAGAGTAGCATATAAAATAGTCCTCGATGTACAATGGTTTATTTAGTGATTTCAAGTTACAACGGCACTAAAAAAAAAAAAAGATACGACCATTTTTCATGCTTATGATCATTGCAGCATCTCCATGGTCAAAATTTGGACCCTGGACAATTGACTCCTGTTTACAACAGTTGCAGTGCCCTGAGGTCATGTGATCACTTCTTGCGACCTTTTGACAAGCAAAAATCCATGGGGCAAAATTCACTTAACAAATGTCTGGCTTAGCCGCAAAAAATGTGGGGCTCTAAGTCTAGGACTGCCTGTACGTCCTATTAATTAATGGATCCTTCAGGTCATAGCTATTTAGATTTACTCTTTTTTAAGTAGTAGTTAATAGTAAAACTGGTAAACAGATAATTAATTGGCCAGATCCTAGAACAGGGGTGCCAAACTTGATTTCATTGAGGGCCGCATCTAGGTTGTATTTGGCCAGGGGCGGCGTGGCCAGGGTGGGTGTGGCCAACTTGAAGTGTCACTCATGTCGGGGGGGGGGTGTGCCTATGGTGGCCTGAGCGCTCTGCTAGCGAAAATGGGCTCCGGATCTCCGTTTTCGGTTGGAACGGCCTCCTGCAACCCTTTGCCAGCAAAAATGGACTTCAGGAGGGCTGCATGTGGCCCTCGCGAGCTCCTTTTTTGCTGGTAGAGGCACCACGGGGGGGGGGGGGCGGTCCTTTGCTGTTTCAAGGGTGGCCCTGCGGGGCCAAATTTAAGCACCCAGCGGGTATGATCCAGCCCCCCCCGGGCCTTGAGTTTAACACCTTTACTTAAGTTTGAAGGGCTGCCACAGAGAGGAAGGGGTCAAGCTATTTTCCAAGGCACCTGAAGGCCAAACAAGGAATAATGGATGGAAACTGAACAAGGAGAGGTTCAACATGGAAATAAGGAGAAACTTTCTGACAGTGAGAACAATCAACCCATGGAACAGAAGTTGCCTTCAGAAGTTGTGGGAGCTTCCTCACTGGAGGCTTTCAAGAAAAGACTGGACTGCCTGTCATCTGTAAGAAATGTTGTAGGGCAGTGATGGCTAACCTTTTTTTCGTCACAAGCCGAAAGTGCATGTGTTCGTGCATGTACCTGCACCCATAATGCAATCTGCACATGTGCCCACGACCCCCCAGGTGCGGCAGTTATTTCACGATCGGCAGATATGTGCAGCAGATACCTCACAGTCGGCTGGCGGGAGGCATGTGCGCGTGTGATGACTCATATGCTGCGGAGATGGCTCTGCGTGCTACTTCCGGCACATGTGCCATAGGTTCACCATCACGGGTGTAGGGTTTCCTGCTTAGGCAGGGCTGGGTGGGGTTGGACTTGATGCCCTACAAGGTCCCTTCCAACTCTGATGATCTGTAAAACCCCTGTCCTAGAACATTCTTCTTTCATTTTGTAAGAAGTTCCGCCAACATTTTTGCTCGGTATCTCCTGAATGTTGTACTTATGTATGAGGGAGCCATGATATTATTGGGGTGTGTGTGTTAGTTTGTTTTAATTACAAACTTCAGGCAGTCTTTGGCTTAAGACCACAATTGGGGAGCAAAAATTCCATTGCTAAATAAGGCAATTGTTAAGCTGTGTTCAGTTTTATGATATCTTTTTTATTTGCAATGGTTGTTCAGTGAATCACAATGACGAGTGGACTCTTGCAGTAATTGTTAAGTGAATCCCATAGTGGTTAAGTGAACCTGGTTTCCATCATTGACTGTTGGAAGTTTGTTGGGAAGGTCGCAAAGGGCCATCACGTGTCTCAAGAGAGACGCTTCAACCTTCCTAAAACGCATGTCTTGTTGCCAAGTTTTAATCACATGACCTGCAATGGTTGTTAGTGTGAGGATCGGGTTGTAAGACATTTTTCCAGTGCCATTGTAACTTCAAACAGTCATTAAACGAGTGGCTGTAAATTGAGGACTATCTAACTAGATATTGTGAAAGAAAGCAATGAAAAAACACTCTCCGCCAAGAGGACTAAATTATACTACGGGTAGTCCTCTACTTACGACCAAAATTAAGCCCAACGTTTCTGTTCCTAAGTGAAACAGTTGT